TATATATATATATATATATAGGGGAGCGTTGAAATTAATAAAAACCACTCAATTTGTAAAAACCGTGAAAACCTCATTCAACTAATCATAATTTTTCATTTTGTTCATTTTTTTGTAATTATGGGAGGTTGATTAACCATTTTTATTGTGGAATACCAACTATAACACCTTATACTTAGATTTAAAAAGAATTTATGGCAAAAATTCGGCATGAGCCGTTCGATAAGTCGTGTTTTGCCATTTGTTTTTTTTACCTGTAAACATTTGCTAAAGTAATGATTCAAAATAACTTACCATACAAAAGCTATGATTACTAACTAGTCTTTATAAAGACTAGTTAGTAATCATAGCTTAGTATTTATAAAGACTAGTTAGTAATCATAGCTTTTGTATGGTCAGTTATTTTGAATCATTACTTTTGCAGGGTGTTAATCATGGATATTATCTTCATTATTTTTATTTTAGAGAAATACATGAAACAATTTCATTAAAATTTCATTAAATATTATATAAAACAATTTCATAACCATATATGAAACAAATTCATCAAAAAAAGTATTATATGAAAAATTTTCACAAGATTAAACAATTTCATGAAAAAATTTCATAATATTAAACAATGAAATCGACGTATGAAAGTGGTTTGTACAGTTTTTATAAATAAGGGTGGTTTTCATTTGATCACTCATATATATATATATATATATATATATATATATCGGGCCAAGTTCAAATGTTAAGTAAATTTTTTGTATTAACTTTGTTGAACGATCTTGACCATTCAATCTTTCAATAAACGGTTGTGATTAATCATGATAAAAACTTATTTTTTAAAATTTAAAATTTCATAAAGATAAATGAACAAATTTGAAAAGGGCATTTAGGTTAAAAAAAATTATGTAACTCACATATCATTAATTGGGAGTTACAAAATCAAAAAATTATATGATTTTTGTTAATTTAATTTTGTTAATGTAAGAAACATATGAACACAACTATATATACATATATATAGAGAGGAGCGTTCAAATAAAAACCACCTAATTTGTACAAACTGTGAAAACCACATTCAACTAATCATAATTTTTCATTTTGTTCATTTTTTTGTAATTATGAGAGGTTGATTAACCATTTTTTATTGTGCAAGGTGTTAATCATGGATATTATCATCTTCATTATTTTAATTTAAAGATTTACATGAAACAGTTTCATTAAAATTTCATTAAATATTATATGAAACAATTTCATAACCATATATGAAAGAAATTCATCAAAAAAAGTATTATATGAAACAATTTCACAAGATTAAACAATTTCATGAAAAAATTTCATAAGATTAAACAATGAAATCGACGKATGAGGGTGGTTTGTACAGTTTGTACAAATGAGAGTGATTTTCATTTGATCGCTCATATATATATATATATATATATATATATATATATATGAACCATTGTGTCAAATACGAACAAAAAATTGATATATATATGAACTTGGACTGCATAACATTTATGAACACAATATGAACATAATAAGAATAACTACAATACGAAATGGAAATAAATAAATAAACAAGTATGAACACAATATGAACAGCTTATGAATAATAGTTCATTCATTATAAATACATTTAGAAGTGATCATTTGTCAATTGGAGTTTTATACATCATTGCATCGACAATGTTTAAGGTTCACCCATTGTTCATATATGTTTCCGGTCTTATGTGGTTGTTCACCTCTTGTTCATATCATGTTCACCCCTTGTTCATATCGTAAAAAAATATATGAACACATAACCGCGACGCTATGAACACCGGGTACAAACACTTACACAAATATAAAGATTTGGTATCAAGCTTAAAAAATAACACTTGTGTTCATATGATAGAAGTAACATGAAYACAATGGTTCATGATTCATAAAAGTCGGCAATATGACAATATGAAAATGGGTCGTGCATGTACTTCCGTTTGAACATGTGAATTAGGTACGTATTAATAATTAAATAAAAAAGTTATCAACTGTTAGGACTGAGAAATCAATATTAATTGTATTCGTCTTGAAAGTTTATAAATAGTCTAATTGTAAAAAGTCAGCGTGTTTGACTTTTCTTATAGAAGTTTGACTTTGACTTTGTTAGTAGGTTTGACCATATAAATAGGTAGTGGTTTTTGTAATTACTGGAAAAGAAGATAATAATTGTAAGATTTCATACGTAATTAGAGTTTGACCTGATTTGTAGAGTTTGACTTTCTCTCTCATTGTTCTTAATATTCGTATATGTGTTCTTGATGATCTTAATGCAATATCAAGATTCTGATGATTGTTGTGATGAAATGAAGAATTGATCAGTGATTTCGGACTCACATCAACGCAATATGAACTACAAAAAACACAACACATCATAATGAACATAATTTCAATTAAAAAGAGTATAATAAAATATTAATCCATTACCAAGACATTCGTTTTGGTTAATTTTTTCACTTCCCGAACTCGACCTCCGATTGTCACCATAAACCATTTTAATCTTCTCAATGTTGTCGATTTTTTTTCCAATGCATTTATCTATAATAGCTTGAACAATACCGAAATTTTACTACCGTGTTTCCTCCACGAATCAAAAACTCATAAAACAATAAAAATGAAAGATCATGATTA